GGGTTTTTACTTTATCAGCCTAATAACTTTACCAGGGGGCACTAGGGGCACACGCTCCCCCCCCCCCCTTTGGTCCAGACGGGCCCTTAGGGCTCTTCGGTGCCGACGATCAAGGGTCCGACTAGGGTCCAGAAGAGTTGGCCACAGACTGTATCAATGGATCCTGGCTCACAAATGTCCACCAGTGGGCCCCTTGCGCCGACTGGTAGCCTTTGGGGGCAATGAATGCCCGCCAGTCGATTCGCGACCACTAATTTCGAAGTATTTTCCGTAGCGGCCTAAAACCCACTTCCAAACCCGGGACCATTTTGGGGCCTGCGATTGCCAGTCAGAGGACGTTTTGCATTGGTCGGGATCCGTTAAGCAATGGGGAACCGCTGTGCTGGTCAAGGGGGGAGGGGGGCACAGTGCGCCTAACAGGGGACCCCATGTCGACAAGGGCCCCGAGTCACCAATGGTTCCATTTTCTGTGTGGGGACAGGAATGTGAACCCGAGTGCCGGTGAATCTCTTAAATTGACCGGCCCGCTGATAATGCAAGGAGATCAAATAAATGGCAATGATTCATAATGAGGCAGTAAAAGAGCACTGCCAGAATGGGCCAAAGAGTGAACGTAGCTCTGGACCTCCACCCCATTTCGGTCAGGGGCCGAATGAGCTGAACTGGAGTCATCTGCCAATTACTGGACCCCTGTGTCAGTAAGCGACCCCTTGGCTTACCGACATCACTGACTTATTTTTGATCACTGACTTACCGTCGTTGAGGCCCCCTGCGTCGATGCGGAATCAAACGCTCCGGTCTGAGGGCCTTCCGCGCCAGGAAGGGGACCAGTGCAATGTAGATCCCTCTGTGGCCCTCGTGATCGACCAGAGGGCCCCGGCCACCGTGTCTCCAGAATAGTAGCGGGCAAGTACCCCGAATCGCCAGTTCGGATGGAAATCCCCTTCAATCCCTGACCGGAAAAGGCAATGGGGTCGCCTAGTGTTCTTCGCTCCCTAGTGTTCTACGTTCTCTCTCTCTACGTTGCGTTCCCTAGTGTTCTACGGGGCTCCATGTCCACGAAAGGCAAGGGGTCTCCTTAGTGTTTAATCCACTGGGTCCCTCAGCAAACAGTGATGACAAATGAGGAAAGCTGGACCCAACGAAATAGAATGGGCAAATCTGGTGATACATCCGGGTGGCTTTTCACCGGGAGCCTGTATCCAGCTGTGTGCCGCCCCCCACCCATTCTTACCAATGTTTTAGCCTTCCCTCTGCAGTACGATGGACCTTATGGGATCTGAAATAGGCTCCTCTCGGAATTAAGTGTTTAGATGGGCCCTTAGATGCCATTTCATGATTTGAGAAGGGCCCTACGAAGTCCAAATCATATTGGTAACGCTTTGTAACGGCGCTTTGTCTTTTCTCTGCGATTTTCGATATCACCGTCGTCATGACAAGCGCCATGGTACCTCTACTGCTGCGAATGAAAGCACGTTTGTGATTAGCCCAGCGGGCTGTAAGGACCTCTTACCGAGGAGCGCATTGATTAAAGTTTAAGCCATTGCGTCACTACGGACCCTGTGATACTCCCATATCCAAAGCCAAAGTACGCCTCGAAGAGCCACTATGGTAAGCGCCATAGGGGAGAAATCAAAGCCATGGTATAACATGTCGTTGAGCTTGCGGGATAATACATTCATGTTTGCATATATTTGTGCCTGAACGGTGTTCCTAAGCCTTCGTAGCAGTTATTACACTTTGACAAATTAGCGCGCTGCAAACATAACAGAACAGACTCATTCGAAAAGCAGGACCAATGAAGTGTGCTTCTTTCATAAGGTTGCACAGGAAGTGAAATAAGATTTTCACCGCAGGACCGGCTACAGGGGTGGTAAAAGTGTATTTTTGCCACCCACCGAATTTTCGGAGGAAAAGTTGTCGTCAGTAGCGTAATGCGATATCGTATGACAAAATGGTCATTAAGTCCATGCCAAGTACCGTCATCAGTAATCGGCGTATCACCGAAAGTCTCCTTCATCTCCGCAATTTTCAATATCATGTACATAACCGAAACGTTCAGTCACACTCTGCCCTTAAACAAATGTCAGGATATGTGCTGCTGCTAGGAAAGCAGGTGTACGTGCCCTAGACTAATCAGATAGCCCAATCACAACAGGAGTTTTCTTCCGCCCTCGGGACTCGTTGGAGCCATACGCTTAAACTCGATATACGGCCGAACTTGCTTTCCTCGACCGCAAAAATTAAACAACGAAGGACCTCGATAGCCGGGGCAGCAAAATGCATGGCAGATTCCGAAACAGTGGCAAGCGGCACTAGCAATGACACCAACTATGAGGGGGGGGGGGGCTCCACGAGGCTATGCTCACTTATGAAAATCTAACGTGTGCCTCGAACCCCATCTCAACCATCGCCAAACTATCCACCATACCTAAGGCATGCTCCAAGCCTGGCGCGACATGTTTTGGCTGGTGGGTGCCTTCCGCCGTGCCTCAACAAGTAAATTTTATCGATTTTTTTTTCAAAAACTTCACACCAGGCGGATAGCTCTTTCTGAACAAGTTATTCGTCATGACAGGAGGGGGAGGGTGGGCGATGCGACACCTCTCCGCCCTACAGTTTTCTGAGGATACCAATGCGGCACATTGCGCAGTCTTGCTAAAATCTTTGGTAGCCTCCGGCGCATCCATTGTGCGCGTGTTGACACAAAAAGTGCCCCTAGCAATTCTGGTTCCAGAGTAATGATATTTTTATGATCATTGCAAGACGATTCAAGGCCGCCGGGTGCGGCGGGGGGCAAGTGACGATTCTGCGGACCGCGCGCGGAGGGCTGGCACTGTTACATGAACGAAACCCTATCTTCTGAACATAAGCTTCAAACAGATAAACCACATGCCATTATGCCCATGATTAAGCAAGGGACACACCTCTTTATGCTCCATGTCACTTCACTGCATGGTTTCATATATATGAACATGCAAGGCTAATGTTTGGTTTCCAGGAAAATTTGACCTTCGACTTAGTCTAGCAGCGTCAGTAAGCAACGGGAGACTTGGTGCCAATCACGATATTTCGGTAAAGACAGCTCACTGTTTGTTTGTTCTTTTTGCGAGGCTTACTTTCCTTAGTTTGCAAACGTCAGGAAGTCCCCCCCCCTCCACCTGTCCGCGGTACAAAAGCCGGCGAATCAGGGTAAGGATTACTTATCGTTGGCTGCCATACTTTTAGTTATTTCATGTATGCTGGTGTAAACGGACACGTTTACTTGCGGTGTGTGGCGAAATTTATTACCATGGAGGCATAATAACTATGTAGGGAGGCCTAATCTTACGTTCTACATAGTGTACTGGATTTTCTCGTCCTGGTCGTCACCAAGATTTGCTGTCCAAAAACATTTTTTGGCACCAGGCTTCGCGTGAATAAATGCATTTTCGTCACCGACCTTATCCACCAAGTCGGCAGGTTTTACGACCCCTGACAGGCTACTTCAAATCAAAATTCTGAACTATTCAGAAGGATTTCGAGAAAACTGACACTGTTGATCAAATCGCACGCATCGATCTGCCAACAAGCCAAGAGTACTAAAAGGTAGCATACTGCCTTTAACAACATACACTTTCGGAACTAGGTGTAACACTGCCATTGGCAAGAATGTGTTTTCCCGATGGCACAGCTTAGCGTATTTGTATCTCATTACACTCACCCGTGACGCGGTGGATTCGAAGGGCTTAAGACGTTCGCTGTTTATTCTTGACAGACATGGTCTGCGATCGGTGGCAGCGATTTACAACCTACCTCCGCGGGGCCATCAATATTTCTCTGAAACCCAGATACAAATTCTGACAACGTTTCTGTATAATATCGGCATAGACTGAGTCCACTGAACCAAGTTCACTAAACAAAGCAGCCATACGATCAGTACCCACTCAGTCATGCGTAGGACAGCCGGGCCAGGGCGTTGGCTTCCGACGGCGGACGGGAGTAGGGCTCAAATAATTATGTCCAAAATCTGTCATGTGAATGAAGAGCGGACAATAACCTCCACCCGTCCATCCGTTCCTCCCCTCCCCCCCCCAACCCGGGCACCGGGCTCGCTTCCCAGAAAAGGTTCCTGAAGTGTACCCTGAGCCTGGCCCCTCCCCCACTTTTTGAAACGTTCCTACGCTTATGGCCCACCATCACCCTTTGGCAAAAGGCGCCGTACCGGGGCAGTGGGTTGCGATATCGCTGGTTTTGCAAGCAGAATGTTTGCAAAGCCAGCGAGCAAACCGCATGAGAAGACGACGCACACAGCCAGCAGCTTCAGGAGACCGCAGTGCTTATTGCTTAAAACATTGCGAAACGCATGCGGCCTACAGCTATCAGCATACTTTGTCCTCTTGTTGGACTTTGAACCTCATAAAGTATTCTTGGTTTCATGTAGGCAGACATTTGTAGCACCGCGTTCAGCTTGCTATTGAAATCCATAGCTGTAAGGCGCCTGTACCCCATCCGACATTGAACATGCAATAAATTGATGTAATGTCGGAGCCCTCAATATGACCAGGTGGGATGCAAGCCACCCGTGGAGGGACAATGCGGCCACTCACTGCCGACTGGGCTTCTGTTCGGAACTGGAGGAATGCTTGTGTTGAGCTCAAAGTTCTGATGTTGAGCAAGCAACCATCAAAATACCAGGAGATACTGGCTAGACGATATGATAATGCTAAAATAAGGCTATCTAAATACAAATCATCAATAAGCTTTCTGCACATACTGCCAAAAAGTCAGGCGCAAAAGGCCTTACAAGCAATTGTTCACCAACAGTTCAAGACGGTGGCACCGCAATTGGTCCCAAACACCGGGCTGATGTCTGCCCTGCCGTAACGTAGCCACATGGTCAGCGATAGCCCTGTAGTGGTCTCGAGTTATATATATATATATATATATATATATATATATATATTTATAACTATGTGAAGTATTTCGGGCTGGCTGAGCTCTGAACACCGCCGACTGCCGGCGACGTACGGGGTCAGGTCGGGTACCCACCATGGATGGTGTGGGATAGACGATTTCCGACGCACACAGGTGATGACGCAGGCCCGTAATACATTCTGAACGCCTAGAAAAACTATATGACAAGTTTCACGTTTAAAAAAAACGTTTACAACTTTTCCTGGGACAATACCAAAAGCCCACTAGACAGGTTTTGTTTATCAAAATAGCGTTCGCAGCCTCTTCCACGGAATAAAACAAAGCGATTTATTGCGATCGCGGAAGTAACATCCGCAGCACTGATGAAGCGAGGTGCTTGTCCTAAGAAAAAGCATGCTTTCTTGCTGCTTAAGGCACAAATTTCCCACAATATAGACTAGGTCTTCTTCAGCCGTCACACCAAGGAATGCTGGTTGTAGATCCAGCGGGACTCAGCCGAACATCCCCTGGCAATGACGACTCCCTGGTCGCACGGGCTGGGAGAAGGCCCGAGGCTGACGCACGAGCGGGCTCCAGCAGGGGTTTAGCGCACCCCAAGGTGGCAGTCCGGAGACACACGCGGCGCTCTTGAGGCCGCGTGCCACGGATAGCGGCCGAGGTACCGGGTGAGCTCGAGGCTGTTTATGAGTTCCAAACGAGTGTTCATACGCCCTTGGTCCCGACATTACTGTGACGTGCCGCTTTGGCGGGACTGACGAAACCACCAAAGGTTCCTTTCTCATGATCACTACCTCCGCGACATATAACGCCATGTCAAAATCGACAAGCCTCAATCAGCCGGGGCGCGAGAGAAAGCTATCAGCCACAAATCAGACAACACTACGCGTGATTAAAGTCAAATGAGTACGCATAAATCACGGACAGCCAACACCTGAGCGTCCTCTAGCGTCCCCTGAAGCGCCCAGCAGATTAGCTCAGCACTACAAAGCCTGCGGCGAGTCTGCCACTGCGACGCCGGTCCGTTGGCAGCACTGCGAGCGCGGTTTGGGGGTAACCATAGCAACCCTGAGTCCGTCCGCGGCGACAGCGTCCTCCGCGCTCGCCGGCCAGCTGCATCACCCGCGCGTCTACCACAGGATCGGCTCCCCGAAGTGGTCGACGTAGGTGGACGTGTGCTGGTTGGTCATCTTGGCCATGGCGGTGAGGATGCGGGAGGCGCTCTCCTCGGGCGCAATCTTGCCGTTGGCGCCGCCCATGCGCGTGCGCACCCAGCCCGGGTCCATGCTGACCACCAGGATGTGGTCCGGGCGGAGGTCGATGCCCAGTGAACGGGTCACCGAGTTCAGGCCCACCTGCCGGAGGGGCGCAGCAGAGGTCAGAAGAGGTCAGACTACAGCTGCCGGAGCGGCACAACAAAGGTCAGACCACAGCTGCCGAGGGGCGGTGCAGCAGAGGTCAGACCACAACTCCCGAGGGGCGGTGCAGCAGAGGTCAGACCACAACTGCCGAGGGGCGGTGCAGCAGAGGTCCGACCACAGCTGCCGAGGGGCGGTGCAGCAGAGGTCAGACCACAGCTGTCGAGGGGCGGTGCAGCAGAGGTCAGACCACAGCTGCCGAGGGGCGGTGCAGCAGAGGTCAGACCACAGCTGCCGAGGGGCGGTGCAGCAGAGGTCAGACCACAGCTGCCGATGAGCGGTGCAGCAGAGGTCAGACTAAAGTTGAACGTTCAGTCTGATTTCGGAACCGAACTATTCGGACAGCTCCATCTGAACAAGATCCACTTTCAGCTATGACATGTCTACACCTCAGATTCGCCCGGTCTGGAGCACACCTGGGGCTGGGGGAGTACAGCTGGGGGCTGCACCCACAACACATATCACCTATCTAAGATGCAGCAATGGGCCAAAGATCAGTGGCTGAGCCATGAGTAGGAAACGCGGATGCGAAGCACAGGCTAGGTGACGGTTTATCAACGGGCCAGTACTCAAATCCGACTGAGGTTACCGTGGAAGCATAGGCAGCCGTTCCCCAACAGGACACCACTAAAAATGCACAGGCAGCCACAACCACCGTCAAGAAACGCTAGTTCGAAATCGGGGAACTGGAACGTGGCTTTGCGAGACGCCGCGTCCAGAGCCAGCCGGCGCGGGTGCCGAGGCTCAACAAAGAGGTCCGTGCTGTGCCCGTCCACATACCTTGCTGGTGCGGTAGGCGTACCCCCTGCCGGACTTGTTGTCGTCGATCGAGCCCATGCGGGAGTCGATGTTGAGCACGGCCGCCCGTCGGTCCGACATGACGTCTCCGGCGAAGGCGGGGTCAGCCGCGGCCGCTCGCAGCAGCGGCAGGAACGCCTGCCGGCCGTCCAGGGGCGTCACCACGGGATCTGTGACGTCACGCCACGGGACAGACTCACGAGACGTCACGGGCCATTCTTTGTGCCCTTGCGACGAGCACACGGACGAGCGATGCTATTCGTTGTGCCCTCAGGCCGCGGGATGCCAAAGCGTGACACAAAAAGCAGCATGAGCTTGCGAACCGGGTGTCGTGACGTCACAGCAGGGAACAGCTTGTGACGTCATAACGTGGACCGGTCCCAGGAACGTCCCACCACAGGCTGACCCTGACAGAACAGGCGGAACGCCCGTGGCACACATCACGAACCGCATTCCGGACGTTTCCGCGGCCCTGTGGACGCCACATACTCAGACGACTCTTTGCTATCACACTCAGACTCTTCCGGGGTTTTCTCCCGCTCCATACCTCACGGCCGAGTTTGCACACAAGACAGCCTAAAAATATCTGCAGTTTACTTCGTTCCCACGACCTAATATTGAAGGCGAGCTATCACAATTTCCCTATGGCAGGCCTATGCCCAAGCTGGACATGTGGCCTCTGTGGCCTGTGCTGTCACATGTAGCCCATGCCAAATCCCAGGTGATGGAAGGCATACCAATCATGACAATTGGATAAATAAAGATAATGATAAAAACTTCCAAAAGTGTGGTTCAGACCAACCTAGACATTACATGGTATGAATTAAAACATGAGACTACCATCAAAACTGGTCACCACTTTCGACCTCATCCCCTCTTCACAGTTCAACATCCAGCAACCAAACCAAAGCTAACAACACCTTGTACATGGTGTGACTGCTAACAAGTACCATACTAATCATGCAAGCCTTGACATCACCTTGGTGAGCATGAGTGGGGCAACACAGTTGATCCTGAAGAGCTGGACCATGTCCTCCGAGGTGACGGCAGACAGGTCCCAGCCACGACTAGCTGAGCCTGCATTGTTGATGAGCAGGTTCAGGCCCCCGTCCTTGACGACATTCGACACCTCCTGCACCAGCCGAGGATAGCTGGCCTCCTCGCAGACATCTGAGGTCACAGGGGAATTTCATCAGGGATATAATGAAAAGCACTCATGAATGCCTCACATCCTGCTGGCAGCAGATAGGGGCCACTTCACAGCCTTACATTTTGGTGTAAACACAGATCCTCAGCCCGCACCTGGATCTCATGGTCCACTTTAGGTGCCTAGCCTATGATGTGAAACCTTCATCAGTAATCTGGTGTCATCTGGTTTGTTAACATAAAATGTGTGGCACTTTCAACTGCCCCCACAAGATAGAGGGTGAAGCTTCCTGCTGCCTGTGCTGTTGTATAGTTGGTGTCATCACATAGTTGATGCATAGTAGTTAATAGTTAATGCCCATGTATATGGTCCCCCCTCCCCCCCCCACCAGCACTCAACAAAAATGTGCAGCATTGGGTACCCTCAGAACCCACTGCCTGCTGTATTCATATAACAAAAGCCATTAAAAATATAAAAAAGGAATTCTGGTATTCATGATCAGGTTTAAAATGACTGCTGGGAAAGTTTTCTTTAAATGATGATAAGAAACTTGACATAAAATATTTTCTGACAAAAGTTTTCTGTAAAGAAAACAATAAACAGAATAGATGAATACACTTTTATCTCTTAAAATTACATCCAGTACTCACCCAATTGAAGAATGTGAAGATTGGAGTGACTCTTTTGAATGTCCTGCAAATCCTGCAAAATACATGCTTTTAGACAACTCAGTAACCAGTCCGAATAAAAGCGTACAGATCATGGTCACTTGGTACCATGGTTGCAATTGGTAAGCTTGCACAAAAAAGTATGCTGGTTCACAAAGTAGCCTTTCCTATTTCAATTTTTTTGTGCATTCTACTTGAGAAGTGTATGCATTGATTCAAGACAAGACAATTTACAATGTTGAGCAATTTTGGAATTGCACAAGCTTTAAATACTTGCTGACATCAGGACTTGTTTGTTGTTTAATTACCCTACATTCTACAAAACAGGTTATCAACATAAGAATTTGATGGTTTGCAGTAATAACAGCACAAATATGCATTTTAGCAAAAACGTCAAGGGTGTCACCTTTCAACATGCAAAAATGTCTGTACTCATAGAAAAGAGGGTTAAATGGTTAAACAGGCTGATGGTAGGCATAGTGTGTAGTGTGTAGCTCTTGCAGTGTTTAACTGATTTCATACTAGCCACATTTTTACCTACCATTTGCTAGCTGATAAGTAACAAACGTGGCAGGCCAGGTGATAAGAGCAGAGATATTGCATGTCTATATGGATAGTGTGCTGCTCATCAGACTCTGGGAGTTAACTCTGACCCCACTTGACTTCACAACAGTTGAAGTTGGAGCCTTAATGAGCCATACAAAGTCAGATAAAGTCAAGATAGCACCAGTTGAACCATTCTGCAAGTTTGTAGGCCACACAGTCTTAGACATACAATGGTGTCTGGAATCTTTAATAAGTTAACTCAACTACGGATTGGCACATCATGGATCTTGATATTCTGATGCAGGGACAGCACTTCACAAAATAAACTAGGAGAGCTTGATGAGGCGAAATGACTAAACCTAGCCCCACCATGGTCCCATGTGTAATTCAGCTGCCAAGAACTGGAAAAGCTCACACACTTCCTTTTACACAGGTGCTTTTGTGCATTTCTTCCATGCCAGGAGTTGACATTGGTATGAGTGGACTGAAGGGGCTCATCACTGGTAAGAAAATCAGCACTTAAAACAGGTTTACAAACATTGTTTATAAATTAAAGCACACTCATTCTCGCCCACCAATGCATACCTTGCAATCTGAGGTATTCCTGCAAGTAGCAAACACAGTATCTGCAGGTTTGGGCCCCGATACAAGAAGACGGGTCAGCTCAAGCCCGATGCCACGATTCGCACCGGTTACCAGCACAGAAAACGGCATATTTCCCCGGGAGTTTCCTGCTGAGGACGCACCAAATGTCAATTTAAAACGAAATTAAATCGATGCGCCGATTCCGAGCACGTGCCGCCCACAGCCCCCTAACACCACAAGTGACTACACCGCTCAGTCCCGGCGCCTGTTATAGGGGTCCTCAAACCGCGCCGTCACGCAAACACAGCAATACCGGCCCAAGGATATCGGCCAAGTCGCCTTGATTCGGCAGCAAATGTTTTTCTTCCGGTAGATACAAAATATCCCTTTCGGCAGCCTTGTGCTGCCAAATCACGAAATTAGAGGGTTTTTCTTACTATGCGCCCAGGCAACTTTTGCTGTAAAAAACAAAAGACGCAATGGACACAGCAGCAACGTACGTGAAGAAGGCGGCCTGTTGACATATCGGCTGCATGGAACAGGACCAGAAAGAGTCAGGGAGCCGCTAAATAACTAGCGTTAACCGACGTCATGGGTTCAAGGTTTTCATATAGAGAAACGAGTTTCATTTTGCCGGAAGATGCTGGTTAAACGACGGCGTACTACTGAATAACAATTACATTATCGAGACGGTACTTGACGTTTCAGGATGTGCTCATCACCAAAAGTCCAACCTCATCCTGATTCTGGAGCTATTAGCACCGCTCGAAACGTCGAGTACCGTAAATATATCGTTATTTAGCGCTACAACGCCGCTTAACCGGCATCTCCTGGTATATGAATGTCGCAACTCCGCATTTAAGCTTTGTACTTATAATGCCCAAAAACCAGGGGCACAGGGTCTTCCTTACATAACATTTTGTTCATATTTAACAGGAGCAAAAGTATTGTGAAATAGTGTTTGGCTCTCTCGGGCATGGGTCAGGGGTGTACTTTCCTATTCGTTTTGGGGGAGCATCATCCTCCCCTAACTTTGGGAAAATGTGGGTAAAAGCCGGGAGAAACCTGTCTATTAGCATGATTCGTGGTCAGGTTGGGTCGTTCTACACCATTCAGTCCACCATCTGATTTTCCAAACTACGTCCCTGGCATGGGCGTAATCAGGTCTGAGATCGCGGGGACGAATCTGGATTGGGGGGGGGGGGGCAAGCTGGAAACTTGTTGAGACAAACAAACCCACAAATGATATTTTGAATTGGAAGATTTGAAGAGGAAAGCGGTCTACATAAAGGACGGGCAAAAAGTATATTTTTCGTTCCCAAATCTCCAAAGATGTTCCGTCATCACCGAGCATGGCATGGCAGTCGGAAGACAGGAGATGTGGGATAAGAGGCAACAGGACAGGGGAAGACAGGTTTTAGAGGGGAATATAACAACACAAGACAGGCGATGACTGGGCAGAACAGGAGACAATACGAGTCAGGGCAGGGCTGGAGATGACGTAGCAGAGCGAGGCAAAACAAGATGATAGCACAGCACAGCATAGCACACCATGTAACGAGGATTGGTAAACCAAAATTTGCTAAATTGCACAGAAAAGATGTTTTTTATCTTTTTCCTAATCCAAGTATGAACCACAGCTCTGGTACGCCCTGCGCTGCCCCCTCTTTCCATCCAGCCCTGGCCAGTGTCGTCGCCATTGTTGAACACCGTTCACCCGTCAGGTGAACACCCGTGTTCACCTGACTGGGGACACTGCAGTGTGATCTACGACCGGCGCGGGCGCCGGATGACAACCCACGATTCCGTGGACCGTGCACGGCGGTTTCGCGGACGCATGACAGACGCACTCAGTTTTGACTCACAGCACTCAACATGGAGAGTCAGTGGTTGGATCGCTTGTACAAAGAGTATAGATGTTGTCATGAAGTCCCAACAAAAATAGTAGGATTGGCGAAACCTTGTAATTATTTTTTCGCTTTCTCTTTTAATCATTAACTAACTAAAACAGTTTTTAAAGTTAGTCATAAAGTTTATCATCCAAGAACAAAAAATGCGCATAAGGGGACAACAGGCCTTTCGTGATGCTACCTCATGTGAAAATAGCATCGGAGAAGATAACGCAGCTTTTAAAACCACACGCTCGTATAGCCACTAAAGTGTATGCAAACCTTAAAACTTACCTAGGTCGGCACAAAGACAAGTTAAAAACGGACCGAAAGACAACAATAATTTACCGATACACGTGTGAATGCGGGTGGGTGTATGTGAGAGAGACACAGAAGTTTAAAAACAAGAAGGTGTTAACACCAGAGGGCGGTATTAAACACAGATATACGCCATTCGGGCTAATTGAAGCACATTCTGGACATGGGTCATTGCATCGCGTTAGAGGCGGTGCAATTTTAAACTATGAGTCAAGTTTTCCGTCGTTTTGGTATATTCCCATTTCCCTTGTCGTCATTCGCTTAAACATGACTCTTAAGCAATAAAACAACTTGAAGCGTTCGCCACTTTAGCCTGTCGATCTTTTATTATCTTGCATTTTCGCAGCTCACCATGTAGCCGATTTGACTTTTGGCACGTCGACATTTTATATAATCCCAATACGGGAGTCGTCATAAACAATAAAGAAGTTGGCGTTCAGTAAGCTCCGAGTCCACGTCTTGTTCGGATAACGAGAACCTCACCCAGCTCTTTGTTAAAGATGTTTCAGATGTTACCATAAATAATCATGGCCGTCGGCCGAAGGCACTGATCAAATATCCCTGATAGCGCATGACTAGATGCGGCCGGCCGTTCGAGAGCGCAGTGAACACACGGCAGGATTTCAAAACACTCGTTGTCACGCACGAGATACGACTGTGTGCATTTGATAGTACTGCGAGAAGGTTGTCAGCAAGCGCCGTAACATCATCGTATGCCAACAGCAAAAAGGGCAGCGCGTCACTCCACGCTCGTGGACCGTGCGGTGCGTAGATTTCCCACCGTACGTTAGTCATTTAAAGGCACTTTTCTTATAATGGTGCGCAAGTTGGGCCGCTGTGAGCAACTGGTAACACTGAGGTAGGGCCAATGGCTGACACCGTAACATGGCTGTCGCGGGTGGGCCCGCCGTGAGGAACTGGTAGCACTGAGGTAGGGCCAATGGCTGACACCGTAACATGGCTGTCGAGGGCGGGCCCGCCGTGAGGAACTGGTAGCACTGAGGTAGGGCCAATGGCTGACACCGTAACATGGCTGTCGCGGGCGGGCCCGCCGTGAACAACTGGTAATACTGAGGTAGGACCAATGGCTGACACCGTAACATGGCTGTCGCGAGTGGGGCCGCCGTGAACAACTGGTAGCACTGAGGTAGGACCAGTGGCTGACACCGTAACATGGCTGTCGCGGGCGGGCCCGCCGTGAACAACTGGTAGCACTGAGGTAGGACCAATGGCTGACACCGTAACATGGCTGTCGCGAGTGGGGCCGCCGTGAGCAACTGGTAGCACTGAGGTAGGACCAATGGCTGACACCGTGACATGGCTGTCGTGGGCGGGCCCGCCGTGAGGAACTGCTAGCACTGAGGTAGGACCAATGGCTGACACCGTAACATAGCTGTCGACCAAAAGCGCCCAGCTTATTCGCACGGCCCAGTGTAAGCGCATTACTGAATGCTGGCGGTCAGCCTCCAACGTGTTGTTGAAGATGTGGTAGAGTTTTGAAAATACATGTCATCACGCACTGAGAATGCAGCCATGAACATTTTATAACGCTTCCGGAGTTGTTTAGCTGGCGCTATAAGATCGTCGTCCACCGACGGAACACATTTTTCTTCCCTTTTTTGTATAGCCCGGTCGCAGCGCAATACCCAATGCTGGTGAGCGGCCGGGGTAACAATTTTTGCAATTACGGCTATCATTTATAAGTACCTAAATGCTTGCAGTCGTGCGCTGACGGTTCAGCCGTGTGCGTGCCTGTGTGCGGGCTGCCTCCACGCGCACGTGCGTGTGTGTGTGTGTGTGTGTGGTGTGTGTGTGTGTGTGTGTGTGTGTGTGTGTGTGTGTGTGTGTGTGTGTGTGTGTGTGTGTGTGTGTGTGTGTGTGTGTGTGTGTGTGTGTGTGTGTGTGTGTGTGTGTGTGTGTGTGTGTGTGTGTGTGTGTGTGTGTGTGTGTGTGTGTGTGTGTGTGTGTGTGTGCTTGTAAACCCTCCTAAGTGTGGACCGAAGTCCGCTACACTCACGCAATGTGAGGACCGTTTTCAAGGTGGGGACCAAAAATCGGTCCCCATTTTGCAAACCAATTGGAAAACGCTAGTTTCGTCCAGATGTTGGTCTGGTATCAATCATTCAGAGGTCCCGACATGGTAGGTGTTATCCGTCAAGTGTATGTTTAGTGGTCGCGTGACTTAGGTCGATTTACACAAATCCGCTGGAGAAGTTTCTCGCCTTTCAACTCAAATGTGTGACGTCATCTTTGAATAGAGGTGTGCTGGTGATGTCACCTTAAATGCAACGTGTAATGTTGATTTCACACGACAGAATCAATTGAATCAACTAAATGAAAACATATGGTTATTTTTATTTGCCTTAAGACGTTTAATAATTGTAAAGCATTAACAATCATGTAGTTTGGCAGGGCACATGTGTCGTACCCATCACTACTGATTGTTATGGCAGACCTTGGCCGCGAGTTAGAATGCCGTGGGAGTGTCGCGTCGCGCGGTTACTGGACAAGGGGACGTCGGATATTGCTGCGTGTTGTTCCTGGTGGCTGTGATTATATGGTAAGTACTAATTACTGCATAATGTTGCATTGGAAGCTCTGTTTTTTAAATGCATGAAGTTACTCGTACTCAGGTGCGCTGCAGTATCAGGGGCAATGCAAATTATTTCAACTCGATGGCGGTGCGGCAGTTTTCGCGTTAAAACTTCTGTAGATATGAAGGAGGAAGGGAGTAAGTGCGCTTGTTACCGTATCTGTTCTCACGCACCCCTGAGTGGGTGTACACCATTTTTATTTTATCTGCTCTGTTTTTAGGTGCGTGAGGCTGCTTGTATTTAGGTGCGCAGCGTTATCAGGGGCAATGCAAATTTTTCCAACTGAGTGGCTGGGTGGCAGTCTTAGCGTTGCAACCTCTGTAAGTGACGAACGGAGGGAGAGGGTGGGGTGGGGGGGGTGGGGGTGGGGGGTCAGTGTGCTTTCCACCTCATGTTTCCATTTACCCCTCAATGGGGGTGCTCCATTCTCACCTCACCTGCACGCACTGAGTGGGGGCGTACGTACACAAAGTGAGTAGGGGAGGCTGTGGGGGGGGGGGGGGGGGGAGCT